CAGGTCCCACGCAGCGGCTGGAGACCACCAGACTGAGGCCAGCTCCGTGTCCTGCACCTCGGCGCTTGCAGCACGGGCCTCCGCGCTTTCCTGCTGTCGTTTCTGCCATCTAGAGGGAACGTTTTCCCATTGCAAATGTGTCCTTCAAAAGACAACGAAACCCCACGATTCAAGGAAAAAAAGGTATTAAAAAAATAAATCACAATCTGTTGCTCACCACCACAGGAAGAGCCCGGCTGCAGCGATTCACATTGTCAGGGTGGGGAGAGCCCGACGCTGTGAAGCAGGTAGATCCCCAGGAAATTCTGAGGGAGCATTTTTTCCTGCTTGTTTAACCGAAGCTAGAACCTCACATGAGACTCATGCCAACAGAAAGGAGGATTTCATAGAATCCTAGAAGGGTTTGGGTTGGAAGGGACCTCAAAGATCATCCAGTTCCAACCCCCCTGCCATGGGCAGGGACACCCTCCACTACACCAGGTTGCCCAAAGCCCCATCCAACCTGGCCTGGAACGCTTCCAGGGATGGGGCAGCCACAGCTTCTCTGGGCAACCTGTGCCAGTGCCTCAACACCCTCAGAGGGAAGAATTTCTTCCTTAGATCCAATCTAAATCTCCCCTCTTTCAGTTTAAAGCCATTGCCCCTTGTCCTATCACTACACACCCTTGTCCAAAGGCCCTCTCCAGCTTTCCTGTAGCCCCTTTAGGTACTGGAAGGTTGCTGGAAGGGGTAACAGTACAATCCATAAAATTCCCAGTATGCTTTATAAAAGATATACTTAAGACGCCCAAACAGAGGCAAATGATCAAAATAACCATCAACTCTCATCTTTCTAAAAGCAAGTGAGATACTAAAAGGGTTGCCCAAGGCCTGGTTCTGCTTATTGGTGTCCACAACGTAGAGGATGGAGCTTGGTAAATTAGGAGGTGAGCTGGATTGAGAGGGATTGCAGGTGGGCTGGAGCAGAGCAGCTGGATAAACTGGAGAGATGGGATAAGAAGAGGATGAAATCCAAGAGTTGAATTTAAGTTACAATCGTGCTCTCATCAGACATGGTTTTGGTGAGAAGGTATCCCAGCCCGGCACTGCACGGTCCAGCTGCTCGTGATCCCAGTTTGATCTGGGAGGAGACGTCTGGAAGCCACCACCTGTGGGACAGCAGCTCTGCCAGGACTCGCCATTTCTTATGGACAAAACACAAACCACTTGTTTACAGCAACTGCTCCTTCTCTGCAGCCCCGAACCAGGTTAACCACCTGGAGGTACCAGCAGCACCGCGGCTTGTCTCCCACCCACACTCACCTCTGGTGAGGGCTGGGTGCCCCGAGTACAGGGGCCCAGTGAGGAACCACCCCCTCCAAGGAGGCTCAGGAAGCGACCTGCTGGAGGGACCAAAGGGCTCAGAAGATACACGAAAGCATCAATGTGAAAGCTGAGAAGAGCTGCGGAGTGATGTGCCAGGCAAAGCTCGCCACATCTCAAGCCAGAGCAGTGCCAGGGACAGTGACCAGATCAAATGGATCTCCCTCCTAGGAAAAGGGATTTACTGCTGCCCTCAAGCCTGCCATCCAAAACGGCTGCACAGCTCAGGAAGGAAATCTTTTCTCCTCCAACCTGTAGGTATAAGAGCATCCAAAAATCCACCTGCACCTAAACTCAAGTGGAAAAAAACCAAATACACGTGAATTCCAAGATTGCTGCCGGGCTGGCAGAGAGGAGGAGAAGCTCACAGTACTTTTCTCCCAGGAAAAAAGGCAACGAACAGATCATACCCTGCAACCATTCCCTTCTCCTGGCATATCAAACAAACCCATCTGCTCCCAGGGACTGCGGCTCCCCCCCGAGTCGACTGCTCTGCCACAGCAATGCGGCGAACCACCCCGGAGGCTGCCGGGCACAGAAGACGGAAAATGCCTGGAAAAGCTGTAGCCAGATGTGCAAAAGCAGGAACCAGAGGGAGCAAGAGGATGCCAACACTTGTGGCATCAGGTGCCAGTAAAGGTGGAAGTGGGGGGGTCACATCAATCCAAGTGGCTCCCCTTCTGAGAGTGGCATCAGCTGGGCACGACATGTAGCTCCACAAATATTGCAGTGGGATCCCAAGCCACGTGCCAGGGCCGCAGAGCAGCTCTGCCCTCTGGCTTCCAAAGCACCCGCCTGAGGTACAAACCCAGGAGAGCCCACGCCGAGCGCGGGGCGGAAAGAAACACACCCGTGACCACGTTTCATTTTCCTTCCTTTTAATAGAAACATCTTAGAGTAACTCAGGAGGAGGGTCAGCCTAAAGGGAATGTCTCTCGGAATAAAATGGTACGGCGTGCTTCGGGAATGATGTGCAAAGTTAAAACGTCCAAGCAGGCTCAGCTCAGGACTTCCTGGATTCTTGGGTCTTCTTGATTTCCTGCAAGGAGATCAGGAAAACGACTGAGTACCTGCCACTCTTTGGGAACAACTCGGAGTTTCACAGCTCCAGGAGCAACCATCTCAGACCAGCTCTGCGGTGTCGCAGGACCACGCCCAGAGTTCACACACAAACCCTGAGGGACAAGGCAAGGTTTGCCTCCAAGGCTCTTCAGGAAGAGCACACCCTTCCATACTGCCAGGGACGTATGTTTGTTCTGCTCCTAACTCCATACTGCGCTGGATCCGTTTCCCACTCTT